AGTTTGGTTATCCATTCCTCAGTTGATGGACATCTAGGTTGTTTCCATCTTTTGGCTATTGTAAATAGTGCTGCAACGAACATGGGTGTGCACATATCTGTTCTTGTCATGGCTCTCACATCTTTAGGGAATATACCTAGTAATGGAATGGCTGGGCCAAATGGAATTTCTAATTCCAACTTCTGAAGGATCTTTGTCATAGACTTTTATGAAGGGATGGCGGCTGGGGCTCAGGGGACCACAGTGGGGGTTGTTCCTCTGTCATCAGTCAGTTCACAGATTCACGAATATGAGTTTCCTTGGTAGCAATTAACAGCAAGGCTAGCACCTGGGCAGGGTAAGACTTTATACCACGGTGATACATATCAGATATGTTTCTGGCCCCAGATGTCACAAATAGACATTTTTGGTGTTTTCACTGAGTAAAGAGTAGAAAACATGACTTGTTTGTCATCAGATAGTATGTGTATTAAGACTTTGTGTTCCGCCCTTAATTAACTGGAAAATGTTTATTATTCATCTGTTTATTAAGCATCTACTCCGTGCTGGACACACTGCCAGGCACTGGAGATAGATACCCTGCAAAGCAAAACCCCCTAATCGGTAAATATACTGTTGAATACATCATGACAGTGAAAATTGCTCCAAACCAGAAGAGCATGGTGATGCTGACTGGGACTGGAAGTTGGCAGTGACTTCCTCGAGGAAGTGGCCCTGGAGATATGCTCTGATAAGTGAACGGGCACTAACCAGATGAGGAGGAACGTTCAAGAGCCCCAAAGAGGGAGCGTGGCCAACAGAGACTGAGGAAGGCCAGTATGGCTGGAACATAGTGAAACAGAGCTAGGCTGGGGCCAGGTCATGCAGGGCCTTACTGGCCATGGAAAGGAGGTTGATTTCAAGAACTTTATTCTGAAAGCTGTAGGAAGCCACTGAAAAGTTTTAAGCAAGAGATTACAGGACACTTGATGTCCTGGGGGCATCTTTAATTCAATATGTACAAAGTCCATTTGTCCCTTGTATTGCCCAGCTTCTTATAAATGGCACTCCCATTCTTCTAGTTGGGAGCTCTGGTGGCATAGTGCCTAAAGTATTTGACTGCTAACCAGAAGGCTGGTGGTTCAAACCCACCAGCCACTCCTCGGAAGGTAGGCTGGGCAGTCTACTTCCATAGTGATACCACCTCAGAAACCCGAGGGGTTGCTATTGAGTCAAAATCGACTCGATGGCAATGAGTTTGGTTTTTTGGTTTATTCTTCTAGTCAGTTTGAAACTGCCTCTCCTGTTACCTTTGATCTGTTCAGTTACCAATCTATCCCTAAATTCTGTAATTCTGTTGCCATGGTATTAGCTTCACTGGCTCAGTATCATTCTTGCTGCCCTCTTTCCAGTATACATCATCTACTCTTAGAAGGCATTACAGTAGCTTTCTGACTGGTCCTAGCTCACCTCCTCCTATGTCATCGTTCCCCTAGACAGACGGGATCACCTCCTGTCCACCCTTCAAGGCTCGGGTGACCCCCAGTGGTGTGGTCTCGCCTCTCCTCAGGCACTCCCAGCACTCTGTCTGACTCCTTTGAATTCGGGCGTTAGGGCACTTGAATGTTAAGCCTCCCCTTCTGTCTCCCCTTCCCCGTCACGAGTGGTTAGAGCCCTGCACGCCATGCTTTCAGGAAGCCTGGATGAGGATGGCTTGGGAGCAAGGCCAGCGTAGACTCTGACCACTCTCCCTGGAGCCAGCGTCCTCCACTGACGGTCACTATGCCCCTTCTCGCCAGGAAGCAGCAGGTGGGTTTTGACTGCACCGTGTCCTGCCCTCGCTCCACTGCCACAGCCTGGTGCTGCAGAGGAAGAGCGGGGATCGAGTTGCTTTTTAAGCTGTGAAAGGATATGGACCTTTCTGAAAAACAGAATGACATTAGTGAAGTCTTGGGCCTGTGAGAAGTACCTTAGTGCTCAGAGTAGCCCTGTAGTCTGTGACAAGCAGACCCCCGAAGTGGCACTGGCAAAGGTGTGTGTGTGACCTTGGCCCCATGAATGGCGTGGCCTAGCTTCCTGACTGATTCAAGCACCCCTGTAAGTGCACAGGTTCATCTGATGAAGACCATTGCTGGGTCCATTGTACACAGAGTTACTGGGGAGCTCTCCTTCGGTTCCAGGGTCTGAAAGGTGCTGCCTTAGGCTTGCTGTACCCCTGGGATCTTCCCTTGGGGCAGAGGAGACCCGCGGGCTCTGAGTCTCCAGCTGTCTCAAAGCAGCAGAGGCCTGGGACCCCTCCACCAAACTGTCTTTAGGACAGGAGAGAAGACAGACGCCATTTTACATTTGGAGCGTCCCTACTACCTAACACGCTCCCAACAACATGGTGACGTGGGCCGGCTACAGGCGACGCTTCAGGGCCGTGACTGGAGCAGGCTTCTGACTCCGTCCCCAGGGCGTCTCCAGTCCGCTAAGTTCTCAGTTAACACTTGCCAGTTGGGTGAGCGGTCATAACTGGCCCAACATGCTCAGCCATTGGCTGAGGGAGTCTGCGGCCCTCTGCTTTTTTGCCCACAGAGCCATGGGGGTGTTGATGTCCAAGCGGCAGACAGTGGAACAGGTGCAGAAGGTCAGCCTGGCTGTGTCTGCTTTCAAGGATGGGCTGCGGGACAGGCCCTCCCTCCGACGCACCGGTGAGCCAGCAGCGTCCCGCCGCGGCACCGTCGAGGGCCCCGTTCAGGAGGTGCAGGAGGAGGAGGAGGCAGGGCCAGCCACCCCGGAGCTCCAGGGAGAGAGCAGAGCCAGCCAGGCAGCTTGGGAGCGGCTCCGAGATGGGCGGGGAGTGGAGCCCGAGGAGTTCGACCGGACCAGTCGTTTCACACCTCCTGCCTTCATACGTCCCACCCGGAAGCTGGATGATGACAAGCCTCCAGATATCTGCCTGGAGCCCAGAGAGCCTGTGAGTGCCCAGTGAGGGCCGGACCCTCAAGGCTTAGACCTTTGAGGATCGGGGATAATGGCGGGGAGGGCTGGTATGGTCGAGATGAGACCGAGATGACCGAGCTGAATCGAGAACATTCTTCAGATTTCTTCCACAAGAAGACAAATGTTAGTTACACCACGAGTTACGGTCAGTAAGGTTTGGGCTGGGGGTGATAGGGAATGCCACCCTGGCAGCTCTTCTGGGTCACGGGTACTCCTACCCCTGGAGGGGAATCAGGGAGACACAATGACAGGCTTGCTACTGATGTTTTGTGCCCAGAAAACCAGGTGTACTGAATGTCCTGCAGCGTCTGAGACAGGCTCTCCCAACAAACTGTTCTTTCCAAAACGCCACCGGCAGCCCTGTTGAGAAGCATGGCCGCAGATGCCCGAGCGGCTGGGAAGCCTCCTGGTCCTCCAGCACTGCCTTCCGCTGGGGCTGTTCCTCAGGGAGATGCAGCCCCAGGGTGACGCCGGAGCTTGGTGGCCGTAGGATCTCGCTGCCTGCTTTGCCCGTCCCCATTCACCCTGCCATCTTTCCCCAGGTTGTCAACGACGAGATGTGTGACGTCTGTGAGGTCTGGACGGCTGAGAACCTCTTCCCGTGCAGGGTCTGTACCAGAGTTTTCCACGACGGCTGCCTGCGCCGCATGGGCTACATCCAGGGAGACAGTGCAGCAGAGGTGGCCGAGCTGGCCCACACAGAGACCGGCTGGAGCTGCCACTACTGCGTGAGCGGGGGCTTCAGGGGCAGTGGGCGCTGCACCGCAGAGCCGTGACATTCCTCCTGGGGGCCCAGGCTTGGGACATTTGTTTCTAGATAGTGACCCAGAGGGTTCTAGTCGATACAGAGATCCCAGAGTTAGGACAGGGACTCTCGACCGCAGCATGTTGACAGTGTGGCTGAATACTTCTTTGTTGTGACTCTGTGTCTGCTGGTGGAGGCAGGGCAGCACCCCTGCCTTCTCCCCTGCAGATACCAGTGTCACCCCACCCCTCATGCTGTTTGTGACCATCAGAAATGTCTACAAATATTACTACATGTGTCTTGGGAGACACCACCTGCGATTGAAAACCACTGAGTTAGAGGACTGAACGGCTGGGATGAGCCCTGATTACACAGAGGTAACTCTGCTTGGACAGTGCTGGTTCTGGTCAAGTCTACAGTTGTCATTCACTGTATTCTTCTGAAGAACTAACCTAAAATCCTAACCAGCTTACTTCCAATCCAGATAGATTCTATCCCAGGAAAACCGCTTACCCCTGAGATCCTTCCTTGGCTGGCTATTTGACTCTTCGGAGCTTGCTGAAATGAAAAACCTGAAATGGTCTTTGTAGGAATTAAACAGCAAAGGGCTATTGATTCAGAACTGTGGACTTCATACGTAAATGCCTTCCAGGTGTTCGCGAAGGACAGGCTCAGGTCTCCGAAAGCCAGCTCCTAGCCATTTGACACCACACCCGAATAGAGCTCACAGGCCGCCTCACTGACCTTTGGTCCCACAGATACCGTCACTGCTCACTGATTTCGTGGTGAGGAAAAGCTGCTGGTCTCCCTCTTCGTACTGCCCAGCAAGGGGCAAAACTAGGCCACTTTCTAACAAAGGATTCTTTCTTCACAGCTTCACCTGAAATGAAGTGTAAACGGTAATTTTCTGGCACTTCCCCCAGCTGGAGTATGCCATGGCAGGCCTACCCTACAGATGCCTTCTCCCCTGCCAGTCCCCAGCCCTCCAAACACCAGCCTTTTTGATTGGGGCGGCTCTGCTTTGAGGTGCTCTGATGGGAGACTGAGTTGAAGGTGTCTCCTCCCTAAACCTCCAGGAATCCTTTGTTCCCTGCCCCGCTTTCTGCCATTACCACCTACGGTCATTACTTGCGTTGTTGCATGCTGTCGGAGCTGCCCACCGTCCACGCTGTGTAAAACACGAGACAGTGCCCGGGCCGGGCCATCGCCACACTCATTGCCTTGTCTGAGCCCGCTGTCGCAGCGCGGTGTCAGTCCATCTCACTGAGGGCCCTCTTCTTTCTCACTGACCCTCTGTGCCCTTCTCCAGGACCTGGTCCCTGCGGATAACATGGCCAAGGTCTGTAAGGGGAAGTCTCCCCATCCTCATTTCTGATGCACATTCTGACTGAACTTCTTCCCGGACAGAAGTGTTTGTTTTTCTGACGGTCCATGGTACGTTCAGTACTTGGCAACATCCTAATTCAAAGGCATCAGTTCTTCTTTGGTCTTCCTTATTCACTGTCCAGCTCTTGTATCCATATGAGGGTAATGAAATATTATGGCTTTGGTCAGGGGCACCTTGGTCCTCAAAATACCATCTTACTTTAAAGAGGTCTTTTGCAGCAGATCTCCTCAATGCAGTACGTCATTTGATTTCCTGACTGCTGCTTCCA